TTGGTGTCCCCTCTGTAGTGCCTTACCTTGCTGGGTGGCTGTAATCACAGTTGTTAAGTTAAACCTATCTCACTGCTGAAGTAAGGTTCCCTCCAAGAAGAAGATGAAATGGCATTATGGAGTCTTGGGGTTGCCAAAGAGACATCTTTTACTTGGCAATTCTGCTTAAGGCTCTACCCAACAGTGAACGCTTTTGCTGGCCTTTTTTTTTTTTTTTTTTTGAGGCGAAGTCTCGCTCTGTCGCCAGGCTGGAGTGCAGTGGTGTGATCTCAGCTCACCGCAGCCTCTGCCTCCTGGGTTCAAGCGATTCTCTTGCTTCAGCCTCCCAAGTAGCTGGGATTACAGGCGCGCGCCACCACGCCCAGCTAATTTTTGTATTTTTACTACAGACACTGTTCTACCACATTGGTCAGGCTGGCCTTGAGCTCCTAAGCTCGTGATCTACCCCCCTCAGCCCCCTCAAGTGCTAGGATTACAGGCATGAGCCACCACTCCCAGCCTTGCTGGCCTCTTTGATGGGAACTCTGTTCCTGGCTATTATTCATACTCAAATTCAGCTCAGAGGGATGGGCTACAGGTTAGCCTGGAAATGCAATCTTCATGTTTCTCAGGGGGATTTTATCCTGAAGAAAACCATCACCTTTTAAAAATAAAAATAAGCAAGGACTATAAAAGGTATGCTGTTGGCAAGGTGGTTTCACATGTTCTTTTTGTACGTGTAAGCTGGGAACCGCTGCAGGGGCTCCGTTCGGTGTGCTCAGATGCCGATGGCTTCCATGTCACCCACCTGTCTTGAGAGTGCTGCAGGAGCTGAATCTCATGCCCTGCCCCCTGCCTGTCCCCAGCTGCGGTGGGGGACAGCATCCTCCTTGCTCAAAACAGCCAGAGGAATGATTCGGTTGATTACTTTCCAAAAAAGTTAACAAACGGTGCCTCAATAGAACAGTACATTTGTAGTGGAGTGAAAACCTAGTTGTTGAGACTCTGCCTTTACCTCTGCAGAAAGGAAGACATTCAAAGCCAGAGCAGGCTGGGGAAATCATTACTGCGTTCTCATTTTGACATTTGTTTACTAGAGGTGTTTATATGTTTTTAGAGGTGGGATCTCCCTGTGCTGCCCAGGCTGGCATTGACCTCCTGGGCTTCAGTGGTCCTCCCACCTCAGCCTCTGCGTAGCCAGGACTGCAGGTGCACACCACCGCGCCTGCTGCTGCATGAATATTTGTTGATTTCTGAACATTTCCTGGCCACGCACATGGTTTATCAGTGTTTAGCAGCAAGGCCTATGATTATATGTGTTTGTTCTTTCCTACCTCATTTATGTGGACACATTTACTTCACTGGACCTGCTGTTGAAACCAGGATTTTGGATTTTGCGACTATTGTGTTCTGGTAATTCTGTTTTACTGGTGACCTGCTATCTAGCCTGTTTTCTTTCTTTCTTTGTTTATTTGTTTTCTGAGACAAGGTCTCACTCTGTGGTCCAGGCTGGAGTGCAGTGGTGCGATCTGGCCTCACTGTAACCTTGACCTCCTGGGTTCAGGCAGTTCTCCTGCCTGGGCCTCCCAAAGTGCTGAGATTGCAGGCATGAGCCACACTGCGCCTGGCCCTGCTTTCTGATAGTGCTTTTTCTCTGTTACATCTCCCACTTCTGTGCGCTGCATGCTTGCTGCCCGTGGTCAGAAATCTTGCTTGACTTTCTTACCACTCATCTGCTTCTTATGTATGGGCTGCATTTTAAAGCTCTTGTGTGGTTTGCTCTAGAAGTGAGTGCATTGGAGATCTGTGCTCTGGTTATGGGAACACTCATGTCTGTCCTTTAGACATGGAAGTACCTGAGAGGTTAATTAATAGGTAGGTGGCTGCTGGATGAAAGCAAAAGTTGAGCAGAGACAGGAGGGTGGTCGTATGGACTCAGTAATGACTCAGAACCGGCAGGAGTTGTCCTCACCTCCACCCTTCCCACATGCTACTACCTCTAATCCAGCTCCAGGCCTAGTGCACTCTCTCCTAAAATCATATCCTGGCCGGGCACGGAGGCTCATGCCTGTAATCCCAGCACTTTGGGAGGCCAAGATGGTCAGATCACCTGAGGTCAGGAGTTCAAGACCAGCCTGGCCAACATGGTGAAACCCCGTCTCTGCTAAAAGTACAAAAATTAGCCAGCATGGTGGCACACATGTGATCCCAGCTACTCGGGAGGCTGAGGCAGGAGAATTGCTTGAACTCAGGAGGCGGAGGTGCAGTAAGCTGACATCGTGCCTCTGTTTTCCAGCCTGGGCGAAAGAGTAAGACGTTGTCTCAAAAAAATATAGTAAAATCAGGCGGGGCACGGTGGCTCACGCCTATAACCCCAGCATTTTGGGAGGCCAAGGCAGGCAGATCATGAGGTCAAGAGATTGAGACTAGCCTGGCCAACATGGTAAAACCCTGTCTCTACTAAAAGTACAAAAATTAGCCAGCGTGCTGGCACACACCTGTGATCCCAGCTACTCCAGAGACTGAGGCACGAGAATTGCTTGAACCCGGGAGGTGGAGGTGCAGTGAGCTGAGACTGTGCCTCTGTACTCCAGCCTGGGTGAAGGAGCAAGACACATCTCAATAAAATGAAATGAAATGAAATAAAATAAAGTAATATTCTGGCACTGCCCATTTCCCTGCTTCTGCCGTCAGCCCTCGTCCCTCTTCCCCCTGCTGCCTTCCCCAGGCCTTGTTTAGACATCTGGCCTTGTTTAGACAAAGGCTACGTGGAAGAACCTCCTTCGATGATGGAATTGTTCTGGGTCTGAGCTGTCCAGCAGGGCGGCCACTAGCCACGTTTGGGTGTAAAGCACTTGAAATATGGCTGGTGCACAGAGGACCTGAATTTTTAATGTAATATAATCTAAATTTAAATATTCACGTGTGGCTCTCCTGTTAGACAGCATGGGTCTGGACTGTCAGGAAATAAACTGGTCTCTCAACCGTTTATTTCCTGACCCCTCCATAATTCTTTTCCCCATAGCCAGAGTGAAAGATGTAGCTGAGACTGTGGCACTGCTCACTTTAGAAGCCTCCAGTGGCTTTGCCTCTGCCCGGGGTGCACCCTGTTTGTTCTCCCTGGCATGTGCCCCGTTCTCCCTGGCGTGTGCCCCGTTCTCCCCCACGTGCGAGGCTTCCTTGAGCTGACCTTTGCTGCCCTCTCCTGTACGGCTGCCAGCTTGTGCTCTCCAGCACCCTGCTGGCTTTCTGTTCCTCAGAGCAGTAGCCACGCTCTTTCTGGAGTTGGGACCTTTGCATGTGCTTTTGCCTCTGGAGAGGGTGCCCTCCCTGCTTTGCTTGCCTGACTGCTCGTCATCTTTGAGGTCTCAGCCTCCTGGAGACCTAGCCCTGCCCCCCATCTGCATAAAGACCCCAATCCTCAGGCTCCTCTTAACACTGCTGGAAATGATCTTCCAGGTAGCCCTCTTTACGAGGATGTGAATGTCACTGGGGTGCCACCCAGGCGGGGTCCTGTTGTCTTGCATTGAGGGACTGAACACACTCTTGCCCACACCCCTGGAACCTTCCTCAGCCTCTAGAGAAGCATCAAGGCCTGACTCTCCTGGCTTCTTTTCCATTCTCCATGTTGGCCATGCCCTTCTGCAAACATGAGTGGCAGCCACTGGAGTAGAGTGCTCTGATTAGTTTCATTTTTCCCAGGTATAGTCATAGTCTCACGTGCCTCCCTGAGGTTACACTCCCTTTTTTTTTTTTTTTTGAGATGGAGTCTCGCTCTGTTGCCCAGGCTGGGGTGCAGTGGTGTGATCTTGGCTCAGTGCAACGTCTGCCTTCCAGGTTCAAGCGATTCTCCTGCCTCAGCCTCCTAAGTAGCTGGGACTACAGGCGCACGCCACCATGCCTGGCTAATTTTTTTGTATTTTTAGTAGAGACAGGATTTCACCATGTTAGTCAGGATGGTCTTGATCTTCTGACCTTGTGATCTGCCAGCCTTGGCCTCCCCAAGTGCTGGGATTACAGATGTGAGCCTCTGTGCCTGGCCTCCACTCCTTATCACCTCTATGTTGCTTGTTTCCAGATTTCCTCAGCTACAAATCTCAAGGTAATCTCTTTTTAATCTTAAATTACTGACCGGGTGCAGTGGCTCATGCCTGTAATCCAGCACTGTTTTTTTTGAGACTGAGTCACCCAGGCTGGAGTGCAGTGGCGTGATCTCAGCTCAGTGCAACCTCTGTCTCCTGGGTTCTAGCTATTCTGCCTCAGGTATGCGCCACCACGCCCAGCTAAGTTTTGTATTTTTAGTAGAGACGAGGTTTCACCATGTTGGCCAGGCTGGTCTTGTACTCCTGACCTCAGGTGATCTGCCCTTCTTGGCCTCATAAAGTGCTGGGATTACAAGTGTCAGGCACTGTGCCCAGCCAATCCCAGCACTTTTGGAGGCCAAGGTGGGTGGATCACTTGAGATCAGGAGTTCGAGACCAGCCTGGACAACATGGCGAAACCCTGTCTCTACTAAAAATGCAAAAAAAGTAGCCAGATGTGGTGGTGCGTGCCTGTAGTCCCAGCTACTCGGGAGGCTGAGACAGGAGAACTGCTTGAACCCAGAGGTTTAAGCATGGTGGTGGGCACCAGTAATCCCAGCTACTTGGGAGGCTGAGGCAGGAGATTCCCTTGGGCCCTGGAGGCAGACGTTGAAGTGAGCCGAGATCGCTCCACTGCATTCCAGCCTGGGTGACAGAGTGAGACTCTCTCAAAAATAAAAAATAAAAAATAAAAATCTCAAGTGATTGCCACCATGCTTTACTTTGGGCAGGGGAATATGTAGCTGCCATAAAGCTATGTGCTTGGGTGGCTAAAGCCTAAGAAAAGCCAGGTTTGAGAAAAGGGAACATATCTAAATACATTCAGTTAACAAACTTTTATTTATTTTTTAATTAAAAAATGAATCTATGTTCCTGAAGAGAAATTAAAAAATGCCAAAAGACAACGGGAAGAAAACAATTCCCACACTGTCTCCCCATGCTGAGATCACATCACGCACCAGGAGGAGTGTGCATGCCCTGTATGTTATAACATCATACACCATGTACGTGTCTTCTTGTCAGTAAATACTCATCCACAAGTCAGTTTTAAGTGGCTGAAGCATGTTACATTTCATGGAGGTAGCAGAAGTTATTCAGCAAATCCATTCTTGGGCATTTATTTGGGTTAATTCTTGTTACAATGACAAGCAGCTCATTTGGTTAACTTTTTTTCCTGTCTCCTCTTTTTTCAGTCGATGTTCTAGAAAATAGCATGTTCTGGTCTTCTTGACCTTCCTTTTGCAAGGGTGTGTGAGTCAGTCTTCCCGTGGTGTCCGTGTGTGAGTCGTCCTGGTGCGGGTTTGTTGTGATTCCACCTGCCTACGTCACGTTTCTCTTTGCAGCCGTGACCGCTTGTTTTCCACAGGAGACAGTGTCGTGTGGTTATAAGAACAGGTGTCATGCAGCGGCTCTTCCCGGAGCACGTGGTTGCCATAAGCTCACGCTCCCTTCCTGTCTTCCAGTGGGGAGGCTGGTCGCCAAGAAAACATCATAAACAGAATTCTCTGGACGCCTACCGATTGACAGTGTCGTGTATTTTTATTTAAAATGACTGTTGTTCACTTGCTACTCAGAAACATGTTGCAAACTTGACCTGTATATTTGCCACGGTTTTAATGTTCTTTGAAATGGCAGGTGATTTAAAAGAAGTGACTTTGTCCTTGCCATTACTTCTGAATAGTCACTAGAGTGACACACTACAAAGCAGTGGATGAATGGCTACGTATATACTGTATGTATTTTGGAATGCTGTGAAGATACAATTTTAACAATACATGGGCTTTTAATGCTGCCCCTTTCTTGCAGTTTGACTGTGGGTCGGAAGAAGTCAAGGGAAATCATTATAGAGCCCTGTGCAGAATTTCTTGACGTTCTTGTGATTTTTGGATGTCAAAGTCTTGCATCTTGGTCAAGATTCTGGTTAGTGCATCACGAAAATGATTATCAGAATCCTATTTAGCTTAAGATTGTGCACGAAACTGCACACTGGTCATTCTGGTCTGGGTGCCCTCTGAGCACAGGAGGCAGGTAGGGTCCAGGTGGGATGGGTGTGCAGAGAAGGCAGCCTCTTTGCTGAAGAACTGGGTGAGACCAGCTTGGTGATAGCAGGTGGGAAAGCTGGGGCAGTGGGGTTCAAGTGTCCAAGCTGCTAAGAGGGACTTCAGCCAAACAAACCTGAAAAGCTAGTATTTCTGCTGGTGCCTCAGGCCGGTTTTCTATGTGTGGCCATGAGTTTTATTTTGAGAATTCCCACTGCTTAGTCATGCCAGAGACTTTAAGTGGAACCTCTACTATGAAACATTTTAAATTCAGATCGGGAGGGCACTGAGGAATAGTTTGAGAGAGAAAGACCAAATAACAAATGGTGAGGTGAAAACTCATTCATCCCACAAAGGTTTGTTTGATTCTGCCCTGTACCAGGTACTGTTTTTGGTATTCAGTAATAAATGATACAGTTCTTCTGCCTTTGAGGAGCATATGTGTATTTCAGCTTCTAAAGGTACTGGCACCAAACTGCAGGAAGGTTGGGTTTCTTACAGCCATAGATTTCCGTGGCATGACACTGGGTGTAAAATAAAAGCAGATTTAGGGTCAAGGACCGTCAGAACAGGGGCTGAGCAGGGAGCTGTGGGAATCGTTTCTGGGTGGGGACTGGCAGAGTGTGGGGGGTCTGGGAAGCGCCACGTGAGGGGCATCAGTGTGGGCTGCTGTGAAGGCTGCGGGCCAGACCTCTGTCCTGAAGGCCTTTTAGGTGGTGCTTTCCTGGCAGGTGAGACACTCCTAGACTTGGGCAGAGTTCACCGAGCCCTGGGCAAGTGCTGCCTCAGGTGCGTTGGCTGACTTGGGACATGGAGAGTAGTGTTTCAAAATTTCCTTTTTTCCTTTTTTTTTGAGACAGAGTTTTACTCTTGTTGTCCAGGCTGGAGTACAGTGGCACGATCTCAGCTCATTGCAATCTCCACCTCCTGGGTTCAAGCAATTTTCCTGTCTCAGCCTCCCAAGTAACTGAGATTTCAGGTGCCCACCACCATGCCCAGCTGATTTTTGTATGTTTACCAGAGATGGGGTTTCCCCATGTTGGCCAGGCTGGTCTCGAACTCCTGACCTTAGGTGATCTGCCCGCCTTGGCCTCCCACAGTGCTGGGAGTGTGTGAGCAGTGGGTCTGTTTGCCTAGGACATAGACCTGTTTGGGTTTATGGAACTTAAGGTGTGTGAGTGGGTCCCTATCTGGCTGGAGCTTTGAACTAGTCATGTGCAGTGGGGCCATGTATCTTTCCTTAACGAATGGAAACAACAGGAAACAAAAAACAAGAACAGCCTCATCTGTGGAGACAACAGTTGGAGAAGCACCAACTGTGGGAGATTTCATGGCGAGAGGCCGGAAAGTCAAGCAATAAATATGAAGCCGTTGATCACATTCCAGTTTATTTCAGGCCTTTGTCAATGTGCAGACTTCCCTACCTCAGGTCATCAGCATCTGTTCTTTTTTCATTGGTTATTTTTCTACTTACATATCTATGCACATTACATATACTTCTTTTTTTTTTTCAGACAGAGTCTCGCTGTGTCACCCAGGCTGGAGTGCAGTGGTGTGATCTCAGCTCACTGCAACCTCTGCCTCCCAGGTTCAAGCTATTCTCCTGTCTCAGCCTCTCGAGTAGCTGGAATTACAGGCCCCCGCCACCACACCAGCTAATTTTTTGTATTTTTAGTAGAGATGGGGTTTCAACATGTTGGCAGGCTGGTCTCAAACTCCTGACCTCTTGATCCACCTGCCTCGGCCTCCCAAAGTGCTGGGATTACAGGTGTGAGCCACCGCGCCTGGCCTTCTATAAACATTTCCTACACACATTACACACAATCATAAAAGTGTCTTTTTAAATAATGTTGCAGTATTTTCTTGTGCTTATATGCCACAATTTCTTAACTTCTCTATTTGGGGCGGTTGGTACCTTATTTTATTATAGATAGTGCATATGTGAATATTTTGGTACAAATTAGTGTTTTTTTTTTTCCTCCTTCTTTTGGGCCTGTACCTGAAGGGGAAATACTCTGTCAAAGTGTCACTGTTTTTTTGCTCTCTAGGAAGGCTGAACCAATTTATATTGTAGAAGAGGATATACAGGTTTTCCCTGAAGTTTCAGGCTGTGCAATTTTAATGGTTTTTGCTGGTTTATGAGGCATTTACCTGTGCCTTGAGATTGTCTTTGTATGCTTATTTAAGGAGGTTGTGAGGATGTGATGGTTTGATTTTCCTATTTTCTCACATTGGAAACCAAATGGTCTTTAAAAAAATTCTCATTTGAAGTTGAATGTTGACATCTTGTGATTCATCAGTCTTTGCATAGTTTGGACACATGCTTTATTTACTGTACTTTATATCTCTCCCCATTCTCTTGCTTATTATTTGTTTCATTGCATTTTGTGGTGCAAAACTTCTTCACTAGTGTTTACATTTTTAGACTCATCATCTCTGATGAGATCCTTAAGTTATTTGGCCAGAAATTATTTTCTCTTTTAAAAGTGGGTGAAGTATATTATTCTGCTGTTTTTAGTTTTGTAATTGCTTATTTCTTGGATCTATTTGGACCTTATTACAGTGTTTGGTATAAGATGTAGATCTAAGGCTGGGTGCAGTGGCTCACGCCTGTTATCTCAGCACTTTGGGAGGCCAAGGTGGGCAAATCATGAGGTCAGGAGTTTGCGACCAGCCTGACCAACATGGCGAAACCCCGTCTCTACTAAAAATACAAAAATTAGCTGGGCACAATGGCGCACACCTGTAATCCCAGCTACTCAGGAGGCTGAGGCAGGACAATTGCTTGAACACAGGAGGTGGAGGTTGCAGTGAGCTGAGATCACACCACTGCACTGTAGCCTGGTGACAGAGTGAGACTCCGTCTCAAAAAAACAAAAACAAAAAACCCCAAAACCTCTTCCCTTCATAAATTACCCAGTCTTGGGTATTTCATGATGGCAGCGTGAGAACAGACTCACACACTGTCCTTTGATTCTTGCAGTTGGATTTCTCTGCTGTTCTGAACCTGCCGGATTTCTTGGCTGCCCCTTTGTCTGCATGGAGGCATGCACTTCGCCTTGCTTTCTGGAGTGGTGTTCTCAGTGAGGAGGTGGCTGAGTGGTGATGTGGCTGAGGGGTTGAAACTGTGAGAAGCGGCTTAGCTCGATGGCGGGCTGTATAGCCTTCTCTGTGCCTTGTCACAGGCAATTTGGAGAGTTATCCACATAGACTTTTTATCAGGATAGAAGGAAGCTGTTAGGAGCACAGGCTGTGGGGTGCAGACTCTGTGTGTGAAAAACAGTCTATGACAGAACCAATAGTTAGACATTAATAGCGCAAGAGAGAAGAAAGCACAGACCATTCGACTGGGATGTGCATTTGTTCTGTATGTGATAGGTTTGAAAGGGGTTTCTGTCCTAAGGTGCCCTGAATTTTTAGAGCTCCTGGTGAGTCCGTCGGGCAGTTCCTCCCTGTCAGCATTGCCCATGTGGAGAGGCACACACTACCTCTGGGGCCCGTGTTGGTATCCGGTGGAACGTGCCTGGTGTGTGCGTGCGTGTGTGTGTGTGTGTGTGTGTGTGTGTTTTTCTTGCTCTGTTGCCCAGGCTGGAGTGCAGTGGCATGATCCCAGCTCGCTGCAATCTCTGCCTCCTAGGTTCAAGCGATTCTCCTACCTCAGCCTTCTGAGTAGCTGGATTACAGGCGCCTAACACCATGCCTGGCTAATTTTTGCGTTTTTAGCAGAGACAGGTTTCACCATGTTGGCCAGGCTGGTCTCGAACTCTTGACCTCAAATGATCCACCCACTTCGGCCTCCCAGAGTGTTAGAATTACAGGCCTGAGCCAGTGAGCCCGGCCACTTGTTGATGTTATAATGAAATCCTTCCTTACATAGTTATTCCTCTCTAAGAGTCAAAGAATTTTTCTCTTTGATAATGGACTTAGTGACATTATCAAGTGACTACAGAAATTGAGAGTGAATGTTTGGTGTGGTAAATTTCCATCAAATTTCCTAAAAACTCTTCACAATGAAATTAGCAAAGGCTGTGATTACTTAAGAAACTATAAACTCTTGGATTATAGAGTATTTCTATATTTTTCTTTAGAAAAATGCTGTCCTGGCCAGGCGGGGTGGCTCACGCCTGTAATCCCAGCACTTTGGGAAGCCGAGGCAGGTGGATCATGAGGTCAGGAGTTTGAGAGCAGCCTAGCCAAGATGGTGAAACCCCGTCTCTACTAAAAATACAAAAATTAGCCCAGCATGGTGGTGGGCGCCTGTAATCCCAGTTACTCAGGAGGCTGAGGCAGGAGAATCACTTGAACCCGGGAGGTGAAGGCTGTGATGAGCTGAGATCACACCACTGCACTCTAGCCTGGGCAACAGAGCAGGACTCTGTCTCAAAAAAAAAAAAGGAAAAAAAATAAGAAAAATATTGTTCTTGAACATTTTTGTTCTTCTGATTGCTGATTTCTTGGTTCTTCTACTAGTTGCCTACTGTTTTTTTTTAATCTTACAGTGAGTTTTTTTTTAATCTTACAGTGAGAAGCCTAGTGTTTTTTTCCAACAGGTTAATATTTGTTACCCCCAGTCTGTGTGGCTGTCAGACTCGTTTATTCTTCCTTTTGCTTGTTTTCCCCACTTATAAAATGATTCAGATAATGAGATAATGATAATTATCCCATAATACAGAATAAGCAACATTTATGTATTGTCATATAGCACAGAAAGCACTTTGGTGTATTCCATCCCCTGTAAATTTCATGCAACCCTGTGTGGTGGGACATGATTGCTACGGCCATGTTATAGAGGAGAACATTGGGGCTCAGAGCCCCATATGGCCGTCCGTCTTAGGCCACAGAGCCAGCTGGTGACAGTGCAAGACCTCTATTACAAAATCCCATATTTTCCCGAGTCAATCTTCTGGTTTGAATCCTTTGACTGAATTACATTTTATCGGAAGAGATGGAACTTTTTTTAAAAATTACAATATATGATGTTTAATTTAATGGATTTAATGAATAATTGACTCATAGTGAAGCAATATGTTTTTCTTAAGAGGTCTAGCTATCCAAAGAACATGTTTATTTGGAAAACTCTTTTGAAAATGCTTACCTAATCTGTTGATTAAATGAACGTAACATGTTGTCTCTAGTTGAAGGACTTTTCTAACTTTATTTAAATGATTTCATGTAAAGGTAGAAAAGTTATCCAGAAGAACATGCTATATTACAATTATAAGCTTCTTGGGATGCTATTTTTTTTTTTTTTTTGAGACAGGGTCTCTTTCTGTCGCCCAGGCTGAAGTACAGTGGCACAATCATGGCTCACGGCAGCCTTGACCTCCCTGGGCTAAAGCGACCCTCCTACCTCAGCCTCCCGAGTAGCTGGGACTACAGGCTGGCTAAGTTTTGCTTTTTTTTTTAGTAGAGACAGGGTTTCTCCATGTTGCCCAGACTGGTCTTGAACTTCTGGGCTCAAACAGTCCGCCTGCCTCAGCCTCCCACGGTGCTGGGATCTGGATGTTATTTTGAAGTCGAGCTTTAAAAATGTCATTTGCAAGTGTTTGTTGCTGATGTATAAAATTGCAGTTGACTTTGGTCTAGTAACTTGTATCCAGTGATCTTGCTATATCCACTCACTGCTCTTACTAGTTGTTATTTTCATTAGTTTGTAGCTTTGTAGATTCCTCAGAATTTTTCCATATGGACTGTATTGTCATGAGCAAATACAGACCATTTTATTCTCCTTTGTTTGTGATCTTTATACCGCTTATTTAATTAGTTAGTTTGCTTACTGCAACGTATATGCTACAGTAAGAGGCTTGAGTTAATGCCGCTGAGTGTTTGCACTGTGAGAGGACTCTTTACAGCCTCACTTAGAAGTTCTAGATACAATATTGGAGAATTTTGTTATTAGAAAATTGTTTAAATTAGCAGTCTTTATTGGAGTTTTAAACAGTTATTGGAATTTTAAATAATTTTATTGGAATTTAAATAAATTTTAAGCAAGATTATTGGAATGTTAAACAATTTTCAAATATATTTTGGTAAACGTCAATGTCTGTTTTGAGATTGTGTTTTGTGCTGTACTGAGATGCACTGTCAGGAATTTTGTAAGGCATTTGTTGGCAATTTTGACAGGTGTTCAAAAGTGAGTTTTACATTTTTAATTATTTATTATTATTTTTGTTATTTGGAGGGGTGAGACTAACCATAGCTTGAGACAATCCACTTCCTTGGAGGAAAGGATGGCTAATTTTGTAGCCTAAGTTTGCAGAAAAGCATGTTAAGCAAAGTGAGAGAAAATGAGGAATGAAATTGAGATAGAAAATCAAGTATCTAAAATTCAAACGTATCCTTGACTGTTCATTGTCGCAATATGTCTTTAACTAAATAACATTCTGTGCTTTGAAATGTGGCACGGAGGGGTAGAAGGAGAAAGATTCAAAGCTGACTCCAGCACTTCCATGCTATGCGCTTGGGTAAGTGACTTATCCTTAGTTTTCTGTTTTTTTTGATACTGTAAAGTAGAATACTAAGCAGCTTGCAGTGGTTAGCATTGGAAATAATATACATATCCATAGGCTGCACGTGGTGGCCCACACCTGTCTCCCAACACTTTAGCAGGCTGAAGTAGGTGGATTGCTTGAGCCCAGGAGTTCGAGACCAGCCTAGGCAACGTGGCAAAACCCCATCCGTACAAGAGATACAAAAATTATCTGGGTATGGTGGCATGTGCCTATAGTCCCAGCTACTTGGGAAGCTGAGGTGGGATAGTCTTGAGCCCAGGAGATTGAGGCTGCAGTGAGCTGGGATCCATCCTGCCATTATACTCCAGCCTAGGTACCAGAGTGAGATGCTGAAGAAGAAAAGAAAGAAAGAAAGAAGGAAGGAAGAAAGGGAGGGAGGGAGGGAAAGAGTATACATGAAGCATATCAGACATGCAATAAGGTGCATGATAAGATTTGAGCCTTTATTAGGTACTTACTGTTATTACAGGTTGAGGATCCCTCATCTGAAATGCTTGGTACTAGAAGTGTTTCAGATTTTTGATTTTTTTTGATCTTGGAATATTTGCATCATAGTTACTACTTCAGCATCCCTAACCTGAAAATCTGAAATCTGAAATGCTCCAAAATCTGAAACTGTTTGAACATCGGCATGATGGTTTTAACAAAAATGCTCACTGAAGCATTTCAGACTTCCGGATTGGAGATGTTCAACCTGTATTTATGTGTTACATTATTATAATTTATTCATGAATGCTACTGAATGTCATGTGTCACCTAAGGAAGGGAATAATACCTTTGCAGAACCTTTCCTGCTAAAAGGACCTAAAACTTTGCATTCCTGGAGACTTGCACCAATGAATGAGGAAGAACGTTGATTAATGTTACAGTGAAACTTCTGCCAACTTTCCTCTATTGTTCTCTTCCTTTGCCCTGTTGTCAGACAAGCATGTTCATTTCCTAGCGCCTCTGTCTCACCTCGCTGTGGACATAGACGGCATTTGGGAAACCATGGCTCGGCTGTGCATGAGCACTGGGAGCCCAGGGCTGGGGCGAGGCCACCGCTGTGGGTGTCTGTGGAGCTGCTGGAGGCTCTTGGATGATAGCTGCACCCTGGTGGCCCTTCGCCACGCCTGCCTGCCCTGTTGGCCTTCCTTCCCTTTCCCTCTTTCTCTATCTGACTACCTGGCTAGGTGTCCTTGGCTAATATACTTTTTCTCTTTCTTTCAGAATTCTGAAGGCGGACTCTATATATGCATGAATACATTTTTGGCCTTTGGAAGGGAACATGTTGAAAGACATTTTCGAAAAACTGGACAGAGCGTATACATGCACCTGAAAAGACACGTGCGAGAGGTGAGAGCCACTCCGGGCGGGCCTCAAGGCCGCTCCTGCCCTGCTGTCTCGCTGGCTTTCTCTCCTGGGGCTTTACGCTGCCCACAGCACTTATCATTCTGCTTGATGATGAGAAACAGAAGCAGCACAGTTTACCAGATCCAGAGATTCTCCCGGACCTTATCTTAACCAGCTTTATTTTCCTTCCTCTTAACTTCTGATTGGTGTTTTTAAGAAGACCTGGGTTGACTAATTGGACAAGAAAAAAAAAAAAAAAACTAGGTATAAAAATATAGAAAAATACAGACACATTCATGGATCCAAAAATCAGAAATAAAAACATTTCAATGTTCTTGCTTCAGATTTGTTTTGTTTTGCTTTTTAGCACAAGAAATAGTTTCTTTAAAAATTCAAGTTCCTTTTGTCCCTCTCCCTCACCAGAGGTAACCACTGCTGTGAACTTTTTCTGTGTCATGCATTCCACTATGTTTTATTAACAAACGCCTATTCAAGAACAATCTATAGCATGACTTTATATGTTTTAGAGATGTGGGTAAATGCTATCGTACTCTTAAATTCTTGAAGAGTTTTCCCCTCAGCATCCAGAAGTTTCATTTCTTTTGGAATCTGTCCATGCTGAGGTACATCTGGACGTCTTTACTTCATTTTAATAGCGGTTTGGGTTTTCATCTTGTATCTTGTAATTTATTCTCTTTTCCTCTTGATGAACATTTAGAATGTTTCTATTTGTTGCTACTGTAAAGAATGCATCAGTTAACACTTTATATTCTTCTCCTAGGGGCCCATGTGCCAGATTTCATCAGGAAGTAGGTCTGGAAGTGCAGGCTGGTGTTATGCTCATGTTATGTTTTACTAGACAGTGCCAAGTCTCTCCCCAAAGTGGTTGTACCTGTTTACACTCTGATCTGCAGAAATTATGATTTCTCGCTTTCCCACACCCTCACCAACCCTTGGTCAGAGTTCTGTTTTTGCCAATCTAATGAGTAGGAAGTGGCATCTAAATATGTGGCACATTTCTTTGTACTTTCCATTCTGGTTTTTTCTTTTTGGATTTGCCTATTTATATTATTGGCCTATTTCTTTATGGATTTATCTTTTTCTTATCAGAGTGATGAGTTATTTTTACATTCTGGATACCAAACCTTTGTTACATACTAAATTTCCTTCGAGTCTGTGGCTTGTCGTTTTACTTCGTTTATGAATTATTCTGTGGAACAGAAGTTGTGAGTTTTGAAGTAGTTACATTTCTTAAACTTTTTGTCTTATGAGTTGTGCTTTTTGTGTCTTGCCTAAGAAATTGTTTCCTACCTCAAGGTCTTAAAGACATTTTGTACTAGTCTGTTTTCGTGTTGCTGATAAAGACATACTCAAGGCTGGACTGTTTACAAAAGAAAGAGGCTTAACAGACTTACAGTTCCGTGTGACTGGGGGTGTGGGTGTCACAATCATGGTGGAAGGCAGAAAGGAGCAAGTCACATCTTAGGTGGAATGGGCAGGCAGAGAGAGAGCTTGTGCGAGGAAATTCCTGTTTTAAAACCATTAGATCTCACGAGACTCATTCATTGTCTCGAGAACAGCGCGGGAAAGACCTGCCCCATATTTTAATCACCTCCCACGGGATCCTCCCATGACGTGGGGGAATCGTGGGAGTTACAATTCAAGATGAGATTTGAGTGGGGACACAGCTAGACTATATCACATTTCTTACAGTAGTTTAAAAAAGTTTTTTGTATCTTTTAAGTATGTGTGAATGTGACTATTTTAACATTTTAGGTCTTTAATCCATCTATAGGTTGTTTTTTTATTTGTGTGAAGAATGGGAATCCATTTTTTTCATATTGATAACCAGTAGTTTCATTATTCATAGAGTGGTATAACCTTCCCAGTGATTTATAGTATCACCCTTTATGCATGCATGCACATGTACACACAGGCGCACACACACACACGCATGCATGCACCCACATGCACACACACACGCGTGCACACACATGCACACATGTGTGCACACACCCCCACACGTGCATTTTGTTTGTTTTTTGAGACATGGCCTCACTCTGTCTCCCAGGCTGGAGTGCAGTGGTGCCACTGTGGCTCATTGCAGCCACAGCCTCCTGGGCTCAAGTGATCCTCCCACCTCAGCCTCCCAAGTAGCTGGGGCCACAGGCGTGTGTCACCACATCTGGCTGATTTCTGCATTTTTTGTAGAGAGGGGTTTTGCCATGTTTTCCAGGTAACCATGTTGCCTAGCCTTGAGCTCAGGAGCCTAAGCAATCCACCAGCTTCCCAGAGTGCCAGGGTTGCAGGTGGGAGCCACTGCGCCTGGCTACCATTTTTCTATTTTAGCTTGTTCACATTTGGGTCTCTTTTGGGTCTCTCAGTTGTGTTCTGTTGATCTAATTTGTGTGTCTCTGCATTGGTATGGCGAGCCTTGCTATCTGCTAGTGTAACCAGTTTTTCCATGCTTATTTATTTTTCTTTCTTTTTCTGATTCTATGGCTGAATCCATGTTTATTTTTTCCCACAATTTTCCTGGGTATTTTAGGCATTTATTTTTCTATATGAATTATGGAATTAGTTCATCTGTTTAAAAAGTTCTGTTGAGATTGTGATGACCATCACATTGAATTTACGGATTAACCTATAATCGCATCCTTGTGTAAGCTTGACGAGGGCGCGGAGTCTGTTTGCTTTTATTCACTGCTGTGTCCTTAGCACTTAGCAGTGCTTATCAGATAGCATGTGCTTTATAAATATTTATTAAGTATTTAACATAGATACCTCTTTATTCACATTTCCTTTTTGTCATTCAATAATTTTTGTAATTTTCTATAAAGGAACTCACATATAAAATGTGTATGTGTATAAAGGGTGATACAATAAATCACTGGGAAAGGTTGTACTACTCTATGAATAGTGAAAATATATATATATTTTTACCATGACTGCGGTCCTTTATGTTTTACAGATTAACTGGTCGTTGATGGTATTTGGAGATGTGGTTACTTAAGAGATGTTGATTTTATGTTTAGCAGTGCTTGTTCAACGTTTACGTTAGTTCTAGTAGTTTGTACACTATTTTGGATCTCCTCAGTGATCAGTGCTGCTTTGCAGTTTCTCTAATTTCTCACCTTAGCCTTCATAATATAGTCTCTGTTTAAGTTCCTAACAAAGAAGAGATTTCAAAATTGGACGATGGGGAGAGCAGGAGGAAGAGAAGGAAGAAAGGCCAGAAAGTCAGATAAGGCATAAATGCAACCATGAGCTTCACAGGAATTCAGTACTGACTTGCTACTGAGTGATTTGCATTCACTGATTCTGTTAGGTTGTACGTCGTAATTCTTGTGAAGTCTGTTTCGTATGAGTAGATAGAAAGTGATGAAATTTAGGAAAGACACACACACACACACACTCACACACACACACACACACACACACTCACACTCACAAAAGAAAGAAATGGAGGCCCAGAGACTTAAAAACTTGCTGAGGGTCACCAAGTCAGCGCAGCACTGTGGAATGCTGGTGAATATGTGCAGTCAGCCCTGGCTCTAGAATTTCACGTTAAATGTTGTACTCTCTGACCACAATCTCCACTCATTTATTCCTATTTTGATCATTTGTTGTGGGTTCTGAAGACCTTCAGGCCCATGACTTGTTTAGCCTGCCTCTCACGACTCAGTTCTTTCAGCATCCTGTGCCCGCCGCACCTGAGCTGACCCTGATCCCCTTGCCTTGCTCCCTAGCCATCCTGCAGAATGCCATCATGTCACCGTCCACTTCCACGCACGGACTGCTGGAACCCACACTGCGATGGGTCGGAGACCGTGCCAGCTTCCGGCCTTCCTCTTCCATCGCACCCTCTCTGCCTGGCAAGCCTTCTTGTCTGTATCCTGACCCACTCCCAGGAGCGGCCATTCTCACCTTTGGATGCTTTCCTTAAGCCTTTTCTGTGCATCCCTCATCATTCTCAGAAAAGTATCTTGACTTGTACTTTGCAGGAAAAAAGGGAATCCCTGGACAGGAGCTCCTCTAACTTATTCCTTTGTTCTGGAAGCTCATCTGCATCTGGTTCCACTTTTGATTCCATCTCAGCCGAAAGTGATGTTCTGCTTGTCTTCAGGGTCCTGTTTCCCCATCTCGGGGAAACTTGCTCCTTCATTAACTCCACTTCCTCTGACATCTCCAGCTTCTCCCTCTTCTGGCTAATTTTCTACCACCTTTAAAAAGAACACACCTGGCTGGGCTCAGTGGCTCACACCTGTAATCCCAGTGCTTTGGGAAGCCGAGGTGGGAGCCTGGCTTGAGGATGGGAGACCACCCTGGGCAATATAGTGAGACCCCTGTCTTGACAAAAAATAAAATAATTAGCCTGGAATGGTGGCCATGCCTTAGTCCCAGCTACTCAGGAGGCTGAGGCAGGAGGATCACTTGAGCCCAGGAATTTCAGGTTACAGAGTGAGCTGTGCAGGCCACTGTACACCTGGGCAACAGAGCAAGACTCTGTCTCCTTTTCTTTTTTTCTTTTTTTTGAGATGGAATCTCACTCTCTTGCCCAGGGATGGAGTGCAGTGGCACAATCTTGGTTCACTGCAACCTCTCTGCCTCCCAGGTTCAGGCAGTTCTCCTGCCTCAGCCTCCCAAGTAGCTGGTATTACAGTTGGCTACTTTTTGTATTTTTATTAGGGACGGGGTTTCATCATGTTGGTCAGGCTGATCTCGAACTCCTGACCTCATGATCTTTCCACCTGGGCCTCCCAAAGTGCTGGGATTACAGGCGTGAGCCACCCTGCCTGGCTGAGAGTCTGTCTCTTAAAAAAAACAAACCACAAAACCGTCTTTCTCATTTGTGTCCTTCTTCAGTCACTGGACTCTTTCATTTAAAGCTTCTTGAAAAACTTTTCTGATCTTGTCTGCATTAATCTGCCAGAGACTCAACACTGCAGTCTGAACCTGGTGACCCACTGACACTGCCCATGCTGTCAGTGACCTCTTAGCTGTTGCCCTTGGCGGCTGTGTTTCGGCTCTAACGTTACTTGCCTTTTTGAGCATGTGCATCTCTGAGTTTGCTTCTTGTGGACCTGTGCCTCTCCTGCTTTCTTTGACACCATTCTCTCTCTTGCTTTCCTCCTGTCCTTTCCCAGTTTCTTCCACCAGCATCTCTTCCTTTGTTTACGTCTTAGTTATCGGCATTTCCTAGGATGCCATTTGCCGATCCTATCTTCTTCCTCAGAAAGATGCTTTTCTTCATCAGGGTTATCCATCTTTTTGTTTAACCACTTTCTTCTAAGCGGATGACATTTAAATTAATATCTCTCTGGAGGCGAAGACCTGGTCATCTTATTCTGGTCTGGATTTTTCTACTCCGGCATTTTGTAGGTACTTAGAGGTCCATGTGCCCAGACTGAACGCAGCGTTCTCTTGCTCACAGATCTTCCTCCTCTGAGTTCTAGGGAGCTGGATGTTCTTTGCTTCTGCTTCTCTCTGTGTCTCACCAGTGAGCTTGTTATTTGGGCTTCTCAAATAGCTCTGAGGTCCACCCTGTCTTCTCATTCCTGCCGTTCTTGTCTGAGGTCTGTGTGCTCATTATCCTTAAAAGGACTCATGCTGTCGCTTCCTGACTGACCTTCCTTCCTTCAAACTTGCTGCCTTCAATCCCACCTAGTCTGTATACTGCTCCCAGAGCTGTCTTTCCAAATGCACACATCCATGGCACACTGGCACTTAAATCTCTGATGATTCTTCCTGTTCTACAGGATGAAGTCCAAACTCTTGTGCATGTAATTATAAGGTGCTCATGATTTGGAGCCTGCAGCCTTTCTAACCCTCACTCTTAATCCACCAACTTTGTGCTTTAGAAATAGCAAACTACTTCTCGTTTCTGGAGCACACTGTGATTTTATGCTTTTGTGTGCACTGTTTGCTCTGTCTAGGATGTCTTTTATCCCCAGTCCCCTTTACCTGTTGTACTCCCTGTAGTCAGTATACCCACCCATCCATCCAACCACCCACCTATCCACCCACCCACCCATCCATCCATCCACCCACCCATCCATCCATCCACCCACCTATCCACCCACCCATCCATCCATCCACCTACCTATCCACCTACCCATCCATCCATCCACCCACCTATCCATCCGTCCACCTTTCATCCATCCATCCACCTGTCCATCTACCCATCACTCATCCACCCATCCATCCATCCACCCACCCACCTACCCATCCTCCCATCCACCCATCCATCCACCCTCCCATCCATCCATCCATCCATCCATCCATCCATCCATCCATCCATCCATTCGTCCATCCACCTTTCATGCATCCATCCGTCTGTCCATCTACCCACCACTCATCTACCCACCCATGCATCCACCCACCCATCCATCCATCCGTCCATCGATCCACCTTTCATCCATCCATCCGTCTGTCCACTCACCACCCATCTATCCCATCCATCCATCCAGCCACCCACCTACCCACCTACCCATCCTCCCACCCATCCATCCACCCACCCATTCATCCATCCAACAAATATTTACTCAGTAGCTGCTATATGCCAGGATTGCTGCTGTTCTTACCTGACCAGCCCTGCCCACACCCTTATCCCCAGATGAGCTGATCGTTTGCTCATTATGATACGATTGTGCCTTTTTCTAATCTTTCTTAGCACTCACCAGACTCTGTGGTGCCATTTGTTTACATATATGCTTCCCTGCTCTGCGGGCTAGCTCCTTAAGAGATGTGTCATGTCTTCATTCAGTTGGCACCCTGAGCTCCAGCATAGAACCTGACATGTGGGCACAGCCATATTTGCTGATGGAGGAGTTTTATTTTCTCACACCTTGTTGATGTTGGTTGCTAACTGATGCAGAGGTGATGGTCTTTAGAAGGAAGTTCTCCTTTTTTGCAAGTCTAAGATGCGAATCTTACAGTCAGGGACAGGCTCATGTTCTAGCGAGTCTTCATGCAACCTCTCTTTGTTATCTTTCTGCCATCATGCAGAAGGGAGGGGGCAGTGAGACTAGAATAATTAAAGAACACCATAAAGTTCTGTAGAGAGATTTCAGGGACCTCCAGGATTGTTAAAGGTGCCTTTGCAATAGGTTTTATTTCATTCCTTTCTGAGGCAGATGAGTGGAGAGGGGAGGAAAGAGCCTCTGAGATCATAGGGGAGGGATTCTAAGAGGAATGCATTTGACATCAGTATCTGGAGGGACGGGTTTTTGAGCTAAAGTGTTCTACAATGCAGATTCCTCAGATGTGAACTGTAACCCATCAAAACTTAATGTGAGAATCACAAAGATGAGTCAGCCTTCAAAGTCAAAATTAAAATGAGAAAGGATATGTAGAACTCATGAGAGGACAAACTGAGAAGCAGAAAAGGGGCTGCAAGCTTTCAGCACTGGTGGCTGCTTGGAAATAGGGTTTTGGTATTATAATTGATTCGAGAGTAAAATGTTTTGTGTGAGCAGATGAATGGCCTCTTTTGTATTACCACCTGATGGGCATTTTATTTCATTACGCTGATGACTTCCACCACAGGTAGAGAATCCACCCGCCTTGGGATGGTGCACATAGCCACTTGTGGGTGCTCCAAAAATGTTTAGGGAGGTTAGATTGAGATTTCATATGACCAGATTGTTAATGACTATTGATGTTTATTAAGCCTTTCAACAATAGTTGTTCAGCATGCCCAGTGCCAAGCACTGGAGACCCACGGGGTAAGCAGGAGAATAAGACCCTCGCCTCCTGGAGCCCCGTCATCTCTGAGTCTTTCATTATCAGGTCTGGACCCCAGCCCTCTTGGGAGCAGGTGCTGATTTGAAGTTTAAGCATCGATTTCACCTTGATCCCTGGTTTCCATTTCTCTTTTCAGAAGTGCTTTCTTTATCACTCGATAAAAATCAGCAGATGGATAGCATTCCCCTTCACCTACATGCATGGACCTGGGTCAGGTCCTGTTTATCCTGGAATGGCTCATCTAGAGGGGATATTTCTTCTTGGCCTTTTATAAAAACTAGGAACCTCTGAGATGTGCTTTTCCCCCACAAATATGTGTGTTTTATAGGCTGCATTTTAATGATGTTTTGTTTCCTTTTCAGAAGGTAAGAGGGGCGTCTGGTGGAGCTTTACCAAAAAGGAGGAATTCCAAGCTTTTTTTAGGTAAATAGTTATCAGTAGCATGCTCAGATTTTATGTTTGTGTGTGTATGTGTGCAGACTCATGTGCATCTTTGATTCAGAGTAATAGATTGTTTGTTGCTGTGCAATTTAAGGATAAGAGGCACCAATTTAAAAGCCTGCCTCCACTTTGCATTTAGCTGCCAGTGAAGTGTGCTTTTAGCCCTTAGTTGGGTTTACTGCTTTGAAGCAGTTATACTGACAGTGACTAGAGAGTAATTATAACTCTGCTTCTGGTCTGTTTACTGCTTATTTTTAGTTTTTGAGACAGGGTCTGGCTCTCCTGCCCAGGCTGGAGAGCAGTGGTGCCATCTTGGCTCACTGCAGCCTTCACCTTTCAAGCGCAAGCCATCCTCCCACCTCATCCTCATGAGTCGCTGAGACCACAGCCACACACCACCACAACTGGTTAATTGTTTGCATTTTTTGTAAAGATGGAGTTTCACCATGTTGCCCAGGCTGGTCTCAAACTCCTGAGCTCAAGTGACCCACCTGCCTTGGCTGGGATTTCAGGTGTGAACCACAGCGCCCAGCTGATTTTTTGCTGACTTTAAATAGCTGCCCCTCGCAGTGGCTCACACCCGTACATCCAGCACTTTGGGCGGCTGAGGCAGGAGGATTGCTTGAACCCAGGAGTTTGAGATCAGCGTGGGTAACGTAAAAAGGCCTTGTCCCTACCAAAAAATGAAAAAATTAGCTGGGTGTGGTAGTGTGTCTGTAGTCTCAGTGACTTGGGAGGCTGAGGCAGGAGGATTGCTTGAGCCCAGGAAGTCAAAGCTGCAGTGAGCTATGGTTGTGCCACTGCACTCCAGCCTGGGCGACAGAGCAGGACCCTGTCTCTCAGGGAAAAAAAGGTCGTTTTATTCCTTTTTCTTTTTAAAATTGGCCAAACGGCAGACTTCATTCAGATTTCATAATTCTCCTCCCACCAATGTCGTTTCTCTGTTGTGGGGTCCGGTCCAGGGCTCCGCGTCGTCTTTAGCTGTCCTGTTTGTTTAGTCCTTCCAGACTCTCATTGTTCTGCCGTTTTTCTTTGGCTCTAGTCATCTGACACTTTTGAAGAGTGCTGGCCAGTTATTTTGTAGAGTAGACCTCAGTTTGGTGTTATCTGATGTTTTCTCATGAAAAATGTGAAGTTAAGCATTTTGGAAAGAATCCTGCAGGCGTAGCCCACCCTTCGCAGTGCGCGGTGTCGGGTGTGTGACGTGGGCAAGCTGTCACACTGGTGACGTTGAACTTGAGCAGCGTTAAGGTAGCGTCTGCTGGGTTTCTTCACTGTAAAGTTATAGTGTGAATAAGAAATACTTTGAGAATGATACTTTGAGACTGTGCCAGATATCTTGTTTCTCCTCAAAGTGTTGCTCACTAATTTTAGCACCAGCGGACCTGGCCTGCAGTAATTACGGCTCTAGTGTTTGGTTAATGGTGGATTCAAAAATTTCCCTTATTCAGAAGAGTCAGAATTGTTTATGCAAATGACTACTGATTTCTGTATCAGATGATTATGGCCATAGTTTATATTAAAAGCAAAAAAGTGGTTTGATAATATTTGGCCGAACAAGTTTATATGCCTGAATGCCTCAGATTATTGTTTGGAAGGACTTGCAAAATAGCATCCATAGTATGATTTCATTTTTGTAAAAAAATGCCATACATGGCTGGGCGTGGTGTCTCATGCCTGTAATCCCAGCACTTTGGGAGGCCGAGGAGGGTGGATCACGAGGGCAAGAGATCGAGACCATCCCGGTCAACATGGTGAAACCCCGTCTCTACTAAAAATACAAAAAATTAGCTGGGCATGGTGGTGCGTGCCTGTAATCCCAGCTACTCAGGAGGCTGAGGCAGGAGAATTGCCTGAACCCAGGAGGCGGAGGTTGCGGTGAGCGGAGATCTCGCCATTGCACTCCAGCCTGGGTAACAAGAGCGAAACTCCGTCTCAAAAAAAAAAAAAAAGCCATACATGTATACACATGTATAGAGATAGACGTATGTGTATGCATGCATGTATGTATATCTGTGCATGCACACACTTCTACATACACATTCATACATGTACACACATATCTAGGAATAGGAAGAATATTCCAACTGTTAATAGCAGCTCTTTCCCAGTCATAGAATGGAAGTGATTCTGATTTTCGTCTTTTTGCTTATCTGTATTTAAGCTTTTTTATAACAAACATGTTATTGTGATGAAAAGACACATTAATTATTTGAAAAGTGAAGCCATTGAAGACTGTTGTGGAGCTGAGTTTCTTTCCTAGCTTGGTTCCCAGTCGCTCTGTGCGGGGTCCACGCTTACTGTCTTCCCCTGCTTCTCAGCTCATGGCTTGGTTCCCAGTCGCTCTGTGTGGGGTCCCGGCTGGCTGTCTTCCCCTGCTTCTCAGCTCATGGCTTGGTTCTCAGTCGTTCTGTGCGGGGTCCACGCTTACTGTCTTCCCCTGCTTCTCAGCTCATGGCTTGGTTCCCAGTCGCTCTGTGCGGGTCCCGGCTGGCTGTCTTCCCCTGCTTCTCAGCTCATGCTTTTCTGTATGAGGCTTCTCTGCAGTTGGCTTTTCTGCCCTGGCCAGTCTTCTTTCCTTCCCAACCTGCCTTTGGTCCACAACCCAATTTAACCAGCCAAACCCGAACCAGGCTAGCATGAAACCCAGAGCTGAAATTACTGAATACCTTCTGATGCTTCGGTTATTGGTCATCCGGCTCTTTTGCACTAACACAGATCATACGATTTTGTTTGAATTAAGTGACATCAGCAGGATCTTCTTGAAAGCAGAAATAACTTACTGTTGTTAATTTTTATTGTTTTCTTTGGATGAATGAAGAAGTTAGCTGACCTTGGCCTTTAGCTTTTGTGTCTTCTTCTCAAAAGATCTTGAGGTCTCCCAAAGTGCTGGGATTACATGTGTGAGCCGCTGTGCCTGGCCAGGAATTCATTTCTTTGCAAGCTCTGATTTAAAGCCCCTCAACGAGTGCTTCTCATCTCCTGGACAGGCACTTCTCTCTTGTCACATTGGTCCCAGCCCTCTGAGTTGATGTGACCTGTACATTACTTTCAGTGACAGGCTGTGTATTAGGATTACATCTGGTTTATGTGACAGAAAACTTAAAACACTGGTAGCTTTGTTTATTTATTTTTGAGACAGGATCTCAATATGTCATTCAGGCTGGAGTGCGGTGGCATAATCATGGCTCACTGCAAACTTAGCCTCCTTCTGGGTTAGAGCCATCATCCCACCTCAGCCTCCCGAGTAGCTAAGACCAGAGGCATGCGCCACCATGCCTGGCTGATTTTTGTGTTTTTCTGTGGAGACAGGGGTTGCCATGTTGCCAGGCTGGTCTCGAACTCCTGGCTGCCTGCCTTGGCCTCCCAGAATGCTGGGATTACAAGTGTGAGCCACTGTGCCTGACTGATTGTGGTAACTTTAAACAAGATAGATGCTTATTTTGCTGTCGTGGAGGATGTTGGGAAACACTGAGTGGGGTGATGTGTTGGCCTCAGGTTCACCAGGGATCTAGACTCTTCCCACATTTCGGCTTCCCCTCCATCCTGGCCCATGATTTCTTACCTTGTGGTCACCTCATTGTCCAAAATGGCTACTGGAATGCCAGCCATTACATCCTGATTCTGGAAAGCATGAAAGAGGAAGGGGGAAGGACAAAATCGTCTAATCTCCCAGCAGAGTCACCTTGTTTTGTCAGCCTTCTCACAGAGCCCCAGTAAGTTTACGCCTCTCTGTCAGAACTCGGTCACGTGGCCATACCTCACTGCACAGGAGGCTGGAAAGCCCACCAGCTGCCTTTGCTGAGTAAAGTTTGGGGTCTCTTATTAGGAAGCAGGGGACAGAGGGTGTCGTGAGGCAGCTGGTAGCCTCTGCCACAGACTCCCCTCAAAGGGATGCTGGGGTGGATTCCTCCTGGAGAGGAAGATAACTCAGAGCTCTCTTGCAGTTTCTCTGTTACTTTATGACTAGGAAGTGCTATTTCACTGATACTGAAATGAAATTGTGATGCTGCTGCTTCTGCTTCGTGGAACAGCTGTAGGTGGCCAGTGCTTTATCTCGGATGGAGGTGTTTTAGTCCCATTCATTTGATGACTGTGAATAAATAATCCCTTTTCTGTTGGCTCAGCAGTGACATTGAAGCCACTGAATTATTTGGTTGCAACCTGCAATTGATTTTATAGGGGAAGCTGAGGCCACTGGCTGGTGCCTCATAGTGTCCTGAGTTCCACCTTGCCCCTCAGTGGCAAATCACTCTTCCTCCACATTACTTTGATGTTCATTCAGGTGAAATGACCTCAGCACTAGCTTTTGCTGCCATTTTTTTTTAAACCAGCAACCACAATTATTAGTAATTGAAAAATAATTTAAATTCTATACTTTAAAAATATTTAGAATTAAAAATTTTTTCAATATGTACCTCATGGGTAAAGCTTAAAATTGAGAAGTTATAAAGGGCTGTTTGGTGAAAATTAAGTTTTTTCCCCTCTCTTCCCCGTATCCTAGCCTCTTGGTTACTGACTCCAGAGACAAACTTTCTGTGGGTACCTCTTTGTGTATATTGTGTATCCTCCCAGTGACTGTCTATACATGTATAAAGCTTTTAGATTCTTTTTCCCGTGGTCCCTGGGGACCCATTAACCCTCTGGCTCCCAAGCCATGTTCTGAGGTCCCTGGAGTGCTACGGTGAGCTCACCAGGGCCCTGAGGCATATTTTAAGTCTCTGAGAGATCCTAGTGATGCTCAACCTTTGCATGAACTAAACACAATGTATTTTTACCATTAGGTTACCCTGTATTCCTTCTGATAACTTCATATCTTTGTAAAGCTGGTTTTTAAAGTGGTTTCTGTGGTAAAAGTGAAGCACACTGGAAAATCAGTGTGAAGTGGGAAATCAGCGTGGCAGCGGCTGATCCGACCCAGACGGAAGCTGTGTGTCAGTCGGCAGGTGTACCCCTTCAGTGAAGAACTGTGGCGATTGTGG